CACGTCGTTCCTTTAAAGTGCAAAATATTGCATTATTTTCATTTCAAAGTCATAATTAAATTACAATAAATCATGATTATGGCATGCAATATTTTTTTCTCTAATATATAATTGTGAATAACACAGGGTACTTTAGTTAGTTTAATAATATATTACAATCAGCCTTTGCAAGTTTGCGTGGAAACATTTTTCAAATTTTGAGGTATGGCTCCTCCAATCCTTTCTGTAGGGACATGGCCACGTCCTTTCTTTAGGAGCAATTTCAATATTCACTATGCTGCTCCGAATACACAAATGTACTTCAAATCGATAGATGCTTACTAAAGATTGTCCGTGTGGATGGGCAAGCCTGACTTTAAGAGAACACCTGAATTTCTATGAAACTACTTGTGGTGACAGTTTTGAATTATTTGTTTTGTAAACATCCAATAGACCTTCAACGACAAAACATTACGCATTACTAAAGATTCTAATAATATTAGTTCTGAGTGTCGAAACAGTTACCTCTTACCTAAAAAAAGAGAAAAAAACACTATTATGGCATCTGCCAATGCCCCCCCAAGACCGTCTAGCAGCCTGAACAGAGACGCTTCAAGCAACAGCCGTACAAAAGAGAAGTTCCTCTCAAAATCTCATTCATCGATTGGCAAACTCCTTATAATAACTCCTATCAAACTCCTTATAATAAAAATCAGTCTTTGTTACAGAAAATTCACATGGTACAGGGTGTTTGACCTTATCTTAACCTCCTTATCACTCGCAGGGAAATACACTTTACCAGGTACTACTTTAGCGTGGTGAGTTTAGAGTGAAGATAAATTGAAACATGTCATAGTTACCCAGCTCATTCATTTCCAGGCTTGGTAAATTTCATGAAATGTAACGATAAAATACCTGTTTAAATTTTTGTTTAATTACAGGATTGTAAATAATTATCTTCGACCTCATCAATGAAGACGTTAAGATTCATGTAAATAGCATGCATTTTTTTAGATTTCCTTCTATATATCCTACATGGAACCAGCTAAGAATTGTGTCAATCAATTTGTCTTGTTGAGAAAATTGAATGAGCTATTTATCACCTCTGTAAGTGCCGTAAGTCATCAAAAGCACATTTTATTTGGTTTTAAACTATTTTTTAGAAACATTCCTTAGAATGTTCTGGAGATCTACACAACAAAGGTCAATCAGGAAACCTAAACGCCTCGGAAGATATCTCATTTGTCTTGAGTGGTGGACCGGAAGTAGTGAGTGACGGACGCAGATTACTCGATTACTACATAAAGATTTTGCTGGAATTTCTACAGTAAAAGTGTGTGAACTACCTTCTCAGTCTTATCCACTTTTAACCACGCGGCATACGCGCTAGTAAACGTTACTCGAGCACACGTGGAGATCTCTCAGATGCATCATTTGCATTTTTGCTTACCTTGCTTCACAAACTGACTCTTAGGTTTCTCAGGCACAAACACACAGGAAACACCTTTACTCACATCGAAAATTTAAAACTTTATTAAAGTACAATGTTTATCAATAATATTTCGTAAGAACAAGACATAGATTAAAAAAGTTGTGTCAGTTGTAAATTGCATTTCACGTTCCAGTCTGCGGTAAGCTGAACTGCACGCGATTTGATTGAGATTGTTCTCGGGGCTACAGTACAAAGTCGAACCGGTGTATATGAGATCTGAGAACAATAATCGAAAGGTTCTGAGAACACCGGTGTTCTCAAAAATATCTATTCCGCTCTTTCAGCGGAAGAGTAATTCCGTCATATGAGCGATCTGTCGCGTGTGCCGCGGGGTTTAGCATGCTACGTTTTTCCTTATTAGTGTGCGAAGAAACCGGATCGCCGGGTGGACGCCACAGAAAAGCAGGTGGCCAACCGGCAGCAGGCGGACGCGGGAATCCCCCGTGGTTTGTGCGCTTTGCTTCACCTCGCCCGCTGCCGCCGCCGCACCTTTCAGGATAGCATTTGTCTTCACGCGGAAATTCATCCCAGGGCTGAATTGAAGATTACGAAAAGCTATACTATATTACTACATATATGCGTCAGAACTTCATCTAATGCAGGCACGGTAACGAGTCGCCGGTAAGTTTGAAAATTAGAGTCAACAGGGAAAATCGTACCTACGCCATCTTTATAAGTGGATTTCACTCTATTTTTACAATATTAATAGATTGTTACTGATTTCGAGCACGTCAACTACTGAGGTCATTAGTCCCTATGGTAAGTGTAGTGCAAGTTAATGTATTCACTGCTGTACAAGTAAACATCTTAATTATGCGTTGTGAATAATGTCCACTTGATCAAATGTCATCAAAAAACATCCATTCATTTGCACGCTTTTTATGCTGAAAAAGCAATGCATCTATAACCACACTGGTACAAGCTACCACATCCACATCCACTGTGTGCTCGATATTTAAACTCCGACAATCTAGTCTCTCAATGAAAAAAAATTATAGTAAAGTGATGAAATTGAAAATAAAAGCCAGCAAGATATAATTCAGATAGAGCTAAGTTGTATACCGTTTTAATGAATAAGTATTAGTTATATATTTTCCAAAAAACCCAACTTGAAGTAACTAACTTTTATTTTCAGTAACCTGGTCTACTACATAAAAAGTATCAAATTCCTGAAACATTTTCAGACACATAGTCATCTTCTGTAAAATCTTCTTCTAATCAAAAACACATTCATCATATCTGAAATTAAATGAATATTGTTAATGTTTCTTAGAAAATCACGATTACTTAATTTCGTCTCAGGAGCATTTTTTTCTGTATAAACTAAAATTCAAAGCACTAACAACAACTACAGAAACAGAAATCACGGGATGATGTTTCCATTCTAGTTTCAAAAAGGAAACACATTCATCGCGTTGTTTTACAATTGTCAAAAATGGAGGCACTTCACTTTCGTAAAATTATTGATCAAATCGTCAAACTTTACTCACGAAAACTGTTTGCCATAGAGTTATTGTGAAATCACACTAGCAGCGTCGACAGCTATTGTTGGGAGTTCTTCAGCCTTCTTTTCTACTGGAGTTTCTCGCCTTGTTTCTTTTCTAGAAATACACGCATGGCAGTCAATAAATATGGAAAACATCACGGGCTTTTTTATTAGACACTCCATTTAGAAAATAATTATGACACCCGTCGTATCATGTATAACTATTTCCTGCAGTTTATCACTCTCATGAAAGTGGAGATGGCAAACCTGTAAAATATTGCATAAAATTAGAAACCGTTTAATACTAGTAAATAATTAACAGCAAAAGCATTTAAACATCAAGAATATTATTCTCGAAGTGCTATAATAATACAACCATCGCATTTAGCAAGAACGAATTAAAAATTAATTTGAACGGAATTAGAATATTAATTACGTCCTGCTACCTACCTAAAAATATTTGAAATTATTTTAGTTAGTTTCTAGAAGCCTTATAATTGAACTGTGTAATGTTTTAAGAGTAATACTCACTGTAATAAGTTGATTTCAAACTAGGCATAACTAATATAAAATAAATATTTATCATGTATGGAACATGTGGCAAAACATTCTAAAAGGTTTTTAGCAAGGAAATGATTACGATTAAAATGAATACTTGCCTTCCCTTGGATGTTCTTTAAGGGTTGTATTTCATTTGAAGTACAGCAAGCCATTTCAATCGCATTTCATCATCTTTTGGGAAACCAAATACATGGACTTTAGATCCAAATTGTAATATCCACGGCAGCGCGTGGCCGTTTGGTACAGCGCATAAATGTGGTCCCGGTGCCGGCGGAAGCACTTGGCTCGCCGCAGCCACAGCCACATCTCCTCTCGGTCATTGCCTCAGACGAACTAAGGGTGCTCTGTGGCCTTGGCGCTCCGCCCGTTGCTGCTCGCCGCCCTCTGCCTCGGAGCCGCCCACGCCGTCGTCTTCGAAGGCGGCGCCTCCTACGGAGAAGGTAAGACGCGCTGTGCATTGAAGGCGTCAGAATAATACATTTCACATATCCAAAATAAATACCTTAGAATTTCGCAGGTAAACAAACATAATGATACAAAAGCTGTACAAATGAGTCCATAGAACTACAGTGTCTCAAAGCAGTAAGAAGGGAACCTTCAAATTAGTTATGTATGGATTTATAAAAACGATTTTTCTAATAATAAAAATGTGAATTAGCATTAAGTTGTCACTACCCAATCAATCCAATCTGATCGCATCGATTGTTCAATCCAATTTGATTGCAAATCGTCATTTCATTCATTTATTTAATTAATTTTTAATCAGTTTACTACTCTACTATCACTACTAAGCACACTGTCCCCAAATTTGAGTCTAGCCATCTAAATTTATCTTTTCTGTACGAAAGCAAAATACTTAAAACTTCCTCGTATTTGTATTCCGATATCTAATATTTCTTTCCATTAGTTCGGCCTTCGAGTCTCATGCCCAGAGGGCAGTGAATCCCCCTCCCCCCGCAGAAAGAAGGAAAAAGGTGCGTAAGAGGAAACCAATAGCATGCGGCCAGCGGCTGACGCTCGTGTGCCAGCGAAAGCACCGGACTGCCCGCTGAGACCACAGCCACAGCCACAGCTCCTCTCGGCCATGGCGCTCCGCCCGTTGCTGCTCGCCGCCCTCTGCCTTGGCGCCGCCCGCGCCGTCGTCTTCGAAGGCGGCGATCCCTTCCGAGAAGGTAAGACGCGCCGATTCTTTGTTGTTTACCGTTTTTTAAACTTGTATTTGTTTGTTCGCGGATGTGTTGCTCCTTAGGAACACATTTACTTTTGTTTTGTTTATGGGTCCTCCATAAATTATGTACAGCTAAAGAGGGAGTTTGAGGCAGGGTAACACTGCGTTACACAGGGGTAAGGGGTATTAATTTAGTGTGTCGTTTAGTTGATATTTTTAAATTTTCAATATTTGCTGAAATAATTCCTTTTATTCCGTCACAAACGGAAATGTTAAGTTATTAACAATTTAAAATAAAATATAAATAACTTAAAGAAATTTTGATGTAATTGTTACAATATATGGAAATACTCCTATATTTTCATTAATGATATGTTGATTGAATCTGATAGAGTGTGAAGAAAACATTGAAAACTGTAATGTGTTGTAGAATTCAATGAAATGACACAATAGTCTCTGTTTCTCTCATCATCCACGACGGCGAGTGCACGCTTGTTGTCAAAAATTGTCTCACCTATTTATCCTTCCTTCACTCAAAATTTTTCTCCATTCTTATTAATAAGTTCGGCTAGCATCACGAACTACTTTTCACTTTAATTTTCACAAATCTAAATATACTACACAAAATTAAATTAATACAAATGGTTACTTTTATATAATACAATTTTTAGTTGCTGCAAATGGAAGGGAAACTGTCATAAGCGTTACGTTATTATTTAGGGAGGTTCAACTGTTCATTACAGTGTCGTAATGGGAAAGAAGGGGTACTGAAAATACTCCAAATTTGCGTTACATAATTTATGGACGGTCCGTTATTTATTCTCTTATTTTCGACGTTTTTGTAATTTCTTTGTTTTATTTATTTTTTTACACGCAGATGTTTGCCTGTTGAGAGATTCAAGAGAATTTATACTCACTATTTTGGACTAAAATACTTAGTTCTGTTAATAAATATTATAACAAAGTACCTGATATTTATATTTGCATGTATAAGCAAATACAAACATAAAACAGGTGGTCAACAAATTTTAAATGACGCACATCTTGCTTTGTCAATGATCGGCACAGCATAACATAGTTTTCTTGAGGACTGAAATGAAAAATAATTCTAAGATCTTCAATTCGAAGCAAGGCTACAATGTAAACCGTTGGAAAGATAAAAATAAAAAACTTCATAGGGAACAGATATACTTACAAGCAAAACAAGGGATTGCCCCATTCATGGGGGACCCGCGCCTTGAAACGATCCATAACATATTCGAAAATTTTTCATAAAATTATATGTGTATCATTGTACTAGTACAAAAACGTATTACATTTTTATAATTAAAATAACATCTATAATTAGGGTGCGAAAGTGTAAATCTGGAAGATTGATTGTTTTTTTTCTGGAGAAAATTTCCAACACAATTTTCTCTTATGAAGCCCCACCACACAGTTCCAAAATGCAGCCCAGCCTTTCATCCCGGCCTGTGGCCACGCGTGTTCGCAGACGCCATTTGCTCGCCCCCGGAGAGCAGCCGGCCCGTGGGGCTATGCAAGCGGCCGCACTCGTGCCCGGTGAACCGCGACGGGTCGTGGCTGCCCAACTGCGGGCTGCCCGGCGCGGACGCCAACATGCAGTGCTGCGCGCACCCGTCCCTCCCGCACCCGCAGGGCGGCAGGCGCAGCAGGCGAGGTGAGCACGCGAGGGCGCCCATCTACCGCCCACGCCACCGGCGTCCACTCGCGTCGACTCTGCCGAGAGGTTCTACTCTTCGAGGCCTGACGTTGGCGGGATTGTCGTCACTAGTTGCTTAGCTTGGTCGAGATCAGTCGCTGTTTGGAGCGGTCGGCTGTTCTGATCAGTTCTGAAAACTTTCCGTGGTTTCTCCAACCAACGCAAAGTGAATGCCGGAGTAGTATACTAACAAACGGGCGTGATCTTTCCTTTCTCTTCTTTGTTCCTTCCTCATCCCTTACGTACGCACATTTACACTCACATGCACTACATTACCACATATGTCGAGAGATCAGTTGGAAGCTTCGAGCATGTCTCGGCTGGGGCGGTGCCCCGCTGGTGGAAGATACCTGATTGGGGAAAACCCATCAAGCCAAATTGTAGGTCGGCATCGGAGTTCGCCCTTCAGTGGGGTAAAATCACCGCCACCTCCAGCGATAAAAACGTACACTACACTTACAGGACTAATGACCTCATCAGTTAAAATCACTAAATCAATCCTTTGGATCAATCTACTGCTCATGGCAGGATGTATTTGCGTATGACGTTGGGAGACTACAACTTGACCTTCGAAGATTGAGAAGATAAGACTCAAGTCTCTACCCTTGCTGGAATTTCGACTAGCCTAGTAGCTGGGCTATTTTCTGGGAGAGAATTCTTGAGATCGGAGCTAGATTTTTTTCTGATCATTTCCACCTGCTGAGCTGATTCAGATATATAGCAGTACTCCTCCGCAGTACTACAACGACTCCTAGAGGACGCAGGGTCCCGACGAGTTCGGATTTTCGACAATAATAACATACCTACATTGGATTCAGCGGGTGCTTGGCAGAATATTGAAGCGGTCGGTTGCTCTGATCTCTAGTTGGCAGTGGTTTCTAGGATCAGAACCAAGCAATGCAGTACCATAAAAAATTTAACTATGTGATTTTCTTTTCCCCATCCTTGTCCCCTCCTCTCCACGTACACAAACATGTTGGGTGCTTAGGCCTTGCCCTGGCGGCGGCGCTGCCTTGAGCGCCTGTTCTATGGATGACACCTGGAGGATGAGGGCTCATAAGCCGACGTGAGGGTGTGCTACGAATCTCCCATGCCAACGGCAGAGGAACACCACTACCTCCCAAGATATAACAAGCACTGCACTTACGGGATGGATATGAACGATATGCATGATCAGTAGAAGCTCCCGGAAACACCAATCAATCTCATAATTTTTAGGTTAATGTCAGGGCAGGATCCTCAACAATGGAGCATGGATTGTTCGCAGTTTACTTTCTCGTTACTGTGTGCGCAGTACTCATTTTCGTTGAAAACTTTTACTTTTCGACAATTTTCAAACATTCAATATTTTTTTGGCATCTTCCTACAACTAAAATTTTGAAGATAGGGATTTTTCCCTTAATGGAAACTGTTCCTTAAAGATACGTAGATTCATGTAAACTTTTCGAAAATTGGAATTTGTTTCGCGTAAATTTGCGCGAAAGCACATGCAAGAAATTACGTGCTATTTTAGCGCTACTTGCTGATCCCTCTCCCATTCTTAGGGCCGGGCGATGGGTTTATTGAAAGACTTCATATGTCCAGTTCTGAAATATCTAAACAGATTGGGCAGTAATGGAAATACGGGAACGTTAAATCAAAACCGGTAATATGATCTAGCTCATAAGGAAAAAGAAAAATACTTTTAAAGTTGTCCGGTGAGTTCTGTAGATTCTGCTCCTTCAATTCCCAACTTTTTTTTTTTTTTGCCTCTCGCAAACTCGTCAATCTGCGTCACGGCACGAATTCCTGTCCCACTTCCGCCGCTTCTGATCGCCACATCCGAATCCTTGTGATGGAGCGCTTCCGCTGCGGAGGGTACGGTGAGCGAAATAGCCTCCAACAAACAGGATACCAACATTCGTGAGACAAGGCGTGCAAAAAAGGCAATAACAAACAGCATTTTCTATTTCATTGTAACGAAAACGCAAAGCACCGAAAATAGTTAATGTTTGCTAGTTTCATGCTGATCCTTTTGGACCCCTCCCACTTTCAGCTGTAAATCAGTAACGTTTCTCTGAATTTTGAAATGAATTTTGAAATTTTATGGCATATTAATGGGAAATAAAGGTACACGGATATAGTTGAATATTGTTTTCTAGTTTTCTGTTCGCTTCCTGACCACGTATCAACAGGGGCGGATAATTTGGAGGGGGAGGGGCTCGTATAGATTTTTGATAAATAACAAATATATTTGTTATTACATTTTATATTATTCAAGTACTGTAGATATGATACTATACAATATTGTTGTTTTTACACAATTCGAAAGTAAATAAATATTAAAATAAATTTGCCAAATGAAGGTAAACGAAAACTCTAGAGTTTTAGGGGGGTAGGTCATGGTCCCCATGCCCACCCTGGATCCAGCAGTGCGTATCAATCAAACGACGGAGTTGTATCGCGAATCTTATTTTAAAGAGGGCAATAAATTGTAAACAAAAAATTGAGTACGACTGACATTTTAAAATTATATTTAAGATTTGAGGAGTTGGTAAATTAGTTCCTTATTAATTCGCATTTCAATGTTAATTCGATATTTTGTCAAACGAAACCCATTCTGAACAGGTATGCCAATAACCTTAAAATATTCTAAGAAATCATTCCCAGTCTATAACACTGTTTATGTTCCTACCTGTTTATGATTCTAAAAGCGGCCGAACTGTGAAACCCGCTTCTGCGCTTGTCCATGACGTTGCGTTTGCATCACGTGGGATAAATATTCCAGGATCAAATGTTAATGAGTGCAAATGAGAAATAAGAGAAACTTAACGAAGTGGGTCAAACATATAGGGGCTTCGGAGAATAAAATATATTGGAATCAATATTAAGAAATAGAATTTTACAATTACGGGCCTTTAACGACAGTCATTTCACCTTGTGTCGCTCTACTTAAAAAAATTTTTGGTAAGATAAGGTTTTTGCTTCACAGTCTTTTAGTGATAGTAAAACACTTGTGAAGTAAATATATATGTGCATAAGTAGTATGTGTAACTAATTAGTAACTTGGTTAGAATTTATTTAAAATACTCAAAAATATTTTCCTAGTTCTTGATTCGTATATTTTTCTGTAACAATAATTATTAGTTTACGAATTACATTCATATGATATTTCTGTGATATAAATGAGGCTGAATGACTTTTTCGTAACACAGCCTGCCTGCAATTCACAAAGGCGAAACAGCACTGCGACTTCCAACCTCCTGCTGCCGGTTCCGAAGTTCGCATAGGAGATTTTCCTTATTTCGTAAGTACTATGACACAGCGAGCAATATGTCAAACCACATTTTTTCATTCTCAACTCCGATTTGCTTGCGTTCAGGCTGGGCTGGGCTACAAAACAAGGACTGGCGATGGAAAAACGAGCTGGGCGTGTGGCGGGGCCCTCATCAGCGAGAACTTCGTTCTGACAGCTGCAAACTGTGCCCGCGGGTCTCCTTCATTGTAAGTAATTACAAAAGGCTTATTTAGGAAATACAAAATTCTGTGAGAAAGGACACAAAGGAATGTTTTAAATGCTTACATTTTGACGCTTTATCGAAGCTTTTCTAAAGGATTAATAAAAGAATATAGTTTATTTTTGTTATAAAAAATCGTGTTATCCGATTTTTATACAGGTGTCCAGAGAGGAAACATGGAAACTTCTAAAGTAAGTTCTTAAGACAATTTTAAACATATTTTTTCTAATAGACACCTGCGTTATTCCAAATGTCTGCACCAAAATAAGCACTGAAAAGATTTTTTGGAAAAATTACTACCTATGCAAAAATTTGCATTGCAGAAACATAAACAATCCAGATACATGTAAATTGTTTATTATTTGCAAAAGAAATTAATATATCTTTTCACAATGAAAAATTAACAGAGATATAAAAAAAGTAGTCGAATTGTGTAAATTGAATGCTTTTTTATTTGTGTTTTTTTCTGAACCAATATATTCATTTCTTGTGTAAATAATAAACAATTTACATGTATCTGGAGTATTTACATGTTTCTGCAATGCACATTTTTGCATAGGTAGTAATTTTTCTAACCAACTTTGGAGTGCTTATTGCGGCTCAGAAATTTGGAATATCGAAGTAGTTTTTAGACAAAAAAAGGCTTAAAATTTTCTTAAGAGCTTATTTTCGCAGTTTCGACATTTCCTCCACGGGCACCTATATATCCTTATCATAACGTTGCTTTGACGGAACCCCAATTTTGTTCTTTTGACGATGCATTGAGTGTAAAGTTCTTGCTAACGAGAGTTTACAGTATTATTATTATTATTATTATTATTATTATTATTATTATTATTATTATTATTAAGCCCATACTGTCCCTTTCGGGCAAAGGCTTCCTGATAGCCAGGTAGCTTCAGAGGAAACATCAGGTCATCTCCTTCTGAGATAACTATTCTACATAATACGGGCCAGTTATTATCAACAAATATTAGAATACTCAATATGAACTCAATAAATATCGCTCTAGTATCCGAATGCTAATGGATGACAAGTAATAAGAATATAAATCAGCAATTCATGCGTTCTTATAGCTCTCCCCTATGATCTAAAAAGATCTGGTAATCGAGAGAGAACCCAATGTCAGCCCAAAGAATCGAATTGGATTGTGTCGCTGTAATAAGAGGCAGCAGAATGCTTCTAATTTTTGTAAAGAAGAGATAATTTTCTAAAAGCTCTTCAATATGCCGGGTTGAGTAACGCAGACACTAGCAATAACGTGCGCCTGTGGACAGTAGGTTGGACGTGCGAACCCGCGAAAGGCCAGGAAATGTTCATCATTTAGTTGTATCGCGGTTGGCGTTTTCCCCGTACATTATTTGAACCACATATTTTTTCATCAATATATAACCTTTGTCAAAAAACTTCCAGGACAAAAGTCGTAAAAATTAGAAAATTTCAATTTCGACGTTATCATCCTACCTCCTATCAAAGTAGTCCCCTTGGCTATCTGTATGCAAATGCCAACGTTTCTGGAGGTCCTGGAAGCAAGCAGAGAAATCTGCAGCAGGGATGCTTGTAAGCTGTCAACTGTCAAAGCTCGTTGAGTGTCTGCGGTATCTTGATGAAGCTTTACTTTCAGTCGCATTGTCACTTGCGCAAACAAGAAAAAATCACAAGATGAGAGGTCATACTGGTAGCACGAACTTTCATCCTCTGCAATAATATTTTACACAAATGTCGAAGCAAGACTAACTCTATCCAATAGTTCAGCAAAAATTTTGCGTTTTTGATCTCTGTTCGCCAGTTCTTCTGATATTGTGTGCACAGTTACATGACGGTCATTTTGCAATAATTGCGTTACAAGCTCCACGTTTTCATTGGTATGTGCTGTAGACTGGCGGCCACCTTTGGGATCGTCTTTCCCTAATTCTTTGCCTTCACTCTTTGCTCACAATCAACATCCAATGTGTCACCTTAACTTCTACGCCGACAACCCAAACTGTGCATCTAAGTACAGCCCTGCCATCTAGTGAGTTTGCGCGGATCGGCCAACATCATTTCAAGTAAGAATACAAACCAGGTAACATAAAACCACCATTACTTTGTTCTTATTATTGCGTACTCAGAAATTTAAAAAATGAAAAGTGAGTGAAGTAGTATTGTGCAGTCTGATGGCGTACTGGATAGGTAATAGGATATGCAATTTTGCAGTGCGGTTAATCCAACTAACCACCAATTTTCAATCTGCATGTATTATTACTTCCAATCTTGTTGTTATACCACTACTAAAAATCTACTTTCAGTTTATGTTTTGATGATAATTGTATCTGACAGAGAATTTGTCTTTGGACTGTGTCCAATTCTAATGTTAATAAATTATCTGTCTTCCATCTTGCAACAAAAGAAGGCAAAAAAACATCTGCTTCCCCCTTGACCTCCGATCAGTTGTGAGAATGGCTCTCATCCAATCATATTTCAGAAAAAAAACATAGAGAGTTGCCAAATGTACCGGGAGCAAACACAACCCAGCGTGCGTTATCCCTGTGCCCGCAGCGGCGCTCCCGCTAAGGTGCGGCTGGGGGCGGTGACGTTTCGCGAGGGCGAAGGCGCAGGCCCCGACGCGCAGGAACTGGACGTCGCGCAGGTCATCCTGCACCCTGCCTACAACGCCTCCTCCACCCGCAACGACATCGCGCTCCTGCGGCTGGCCGACAGCGCGCGCCTCACGCGCGCCGTGTACCCGGCCTGCCTCTTCCCGGAGACGCGTCTTCCCATCCAAAGGGTCGTGCTCGCCGGCGCTGGCGCTCGCTCTGCCGAGAGAAGTGGTAATTATTGTACTGTTTTAAGACGATCTCTTTTAGGGTCTCATATGTTTTCGTAACAACGTTCTGTAAGCCCTTTACTGGCGTCGAACGGAATTGTGAAGTAATCTTCCTGCAATCTAGTCAGTCATCGTCAATGGTAGTCAGTCATTGTCTTTTATCCGTTCAGTCTGGCGTTCAGCGCCCCCGGGTCACCAGACGGTCACTCATCCAAGAACCCGCTGTGTCGTGAGTTACTTACCCTCCGTGACTTCAGGGAACGTAGTTAAGTAATTTGAGAAACGACGCCGACACCTGAGCAATTTACGCAATTTGATAATCCCCCTCCCCAGCTTTAAGCCATGAACTTGTGTATAAAACCTTTTTCCGTTACGCCCGCCTAATAGTGTAACTAGCCCCAAATTCTGGAAGAGGTGAGGCAATTCAATAGACAAGGTATCAGACTATCGGGAAGTTTCCTCCAATGTACCTTAAATATTGGGGGGATGCGTGCCTCCGAGGTAGTGATGCTTATGTGTTAATTTCCCTATCAATTAATGTACGGTATGCTACGTCCAGCTTATATCATTTTAGAATACCTTGCGAAAACACACAGCAAAAGTAAATTCTCCGAAACTTCCGGTCCTTAATAGATTTCATATTCATATTCTTAGGAAACGACACAGACCGACAGACAGGCAGACAGACAGAATCTGTTTGGTCGCATTCTGGTGGCGAACGTGGGAATCAAAAAACAGTTGATAGCATTGGGTGATCATATGACGTCAAATTTCTAAATCTCAACCGTTCGGCCAATACCAAAGATCAGCAGTGGGAAGATTCCACAACCACCTCACTGTCTAATGCCCAAACTATAAATTATTGTCATTTTCACCCCTATGACATAGTTGTCACATCAATAACGAATAACTTAAAATGATGTAGTCGGTCAACTTGTTGGACCGACTCTAAAATAGTGGTTCACGAGTAATTCTTCTTTTCTACTTATCGCAGATGTTGGCAAGCTCTCTAAAGTTGATCTTCCTGTGGTGCCGTTTGAAAAATGTCAAGACATTTACAAAAATTCAAATACATACATTGATGAATTGACTACAATATGTGCCGGAGAGAAGGGAAGGGATGCATGTGTTGTAAGTATAAAAACTACACTACTTTTACAGTTCCAGGAGACCCGTTCAAAGTCAATTCAATTAAATTTGTTTGCAGGGAGACTCTGGAGCCCCAGTTGTTCAAAAGGAAGCAGCACCTCTCTGCAATTATCAGATTGTTGGGATCACTTCCTTTGGATTTAGACAATGTGGCTCACAACCAGCAGTATACACGAAAGTACAGGCGTTTCTACCGTGGATTGAAGAAACTGTCTGGGGTAGAAGTTAATACGTTCCTACCTAAATAACTATTGTAATCATGTGATTGGTGAACTCTGAATTATCTCTCATTTCAAAAAAAAAATCTTCATGTATCAAAAAATTGTTATCGTCAAAATATGTTCAATAAAAATAATTATCTTACAAAGTAGTTATTCGTTAACCATCTTCTTTGAAACGTTGTTCGTGTAATTCCAGAAAATATCATTTTAATTTGTCTTTCTAGAAATAGGCTTGTGGTTTCTACCTATTACGAAGTTATTAGATATTTTTTATCGGCAATAATGAATAAAAATTTTCGAAATATAAACCGAAAATTTAATATTTGTGATCTCTGATAAATATTACGAACAATTTCTGCACTAAATATTACACTACCTGATCTATTCGTTCTTCAATTTCCAACCACACTTATTTTTTGTATGCTAGGAACAATGTTTGGACACACTCCCCCTATTGTACAGAAAATAAATTATAAAGTGTATATTATCTAACAGACCAAAAAATTTATTTCCAACAAACTTTTAATGACATACCAATTTCTCTATCATTTGTTTGTACCAAAAATACATGCGTAAAAACAGTAAATAGGATGACGTTAAAAAGGCAAATAAAATTTCTCGTAAAGTTATAACTTCCCACCAGAAAATTTTGATTACAAAATAAAATGTATAATAGCAAAGGAGGATTTAAAGTGAACCATCGACAAAGTTGAAGGGATTACAAATGTCAATGAACACAAACAACACTCATTGGAATGTTGTAAGCTCATAACGAAAAATAAACAGATACATCACAACCAATGATAATGAATAATCATTGTGGGAGGTACATTAAAAAAGTATGTAATTCAGCAGAAGAGAATCAAAATAATGGAAATTAAAAAGCAGAAACTCAAATAAAAAACCAGTTTAAGTGTCTCAAAGCTTCAACCAATGTCATTGGAGTCCATCTGACTGAGAGATTTCCTAGAGTTCGAGTCCCGACGATGGCAAAGTTTTCAACCCCAGCTAGATAGATAGCTAGGTCGAATTCAGCCACTGCGTCTGGACGAGAAATCTAGCGTCTGGCTGCTCTGATCGGTAGTTTCCCGAGGTTTCTCCGATCAATACCAGATGACTGCTAGAACAGTATTCTAACAGATGGACCACGTACCGCCCTTCCTCTTCCTTGCACTATCCTCACCCCTTACATACTCTCACATTCCCGGGCAGTACATTACCACACACGTCGAGACAGCAGTCTGGAGTTAAAGGTTTGTTCCGTCTGAAGCGGTACCCCGCTGGTGGGAAATATCTGGTTAAGAAAAACCCGACAAGTAGAACACATGAAAGTCTTCGCCGCATCTCGCCATAAACTCGCAACAGGGAAAGATCACCGCCACATCTCGCGATAAATAGACAAGCACTACACTTTCGAAACACATGATCTTAGCAGTTGACGCGCCAGGAAACTCATCGATTAATTAAACCAAATGAAAGAAACAATATGCATTGTAAAACAGGAAAACACTCAATACCGCACAGAATAAATGAAATATTAAGTTCAAATTAAAAAGTGAAACTAGCATTTTATCTAAGCTGTTACTTTTCATAATTGAAAAGTATCTTCGAAAGAATAAGATAAACTTTGTTTCTATTTTTAATAACTAAGAAAACTGAGGTAAAAATGATTTCTGCAGCTAGCGTTTTCATTTCAAAACTATTAATTAATTTTTTTATTCGAGAGTGCGGAAAAGACACCAACAGGAAAACTACATCCTTGAAGATAGATTCCCTGGTTCCTGATTACCTGGTCAAACTTAAGTACCTCATGAGGGCTATACCTTAAAGGAGACGAGTATTACATCAATAGAATTAATTATAAAATTAATCAAACATAGAAATATAAAAATGTATTCAAAAATAGATAAAAACAAGGGATTGATCGATTGATGTTCACAGATCGTTGCGTTTTTATGATCTTACAACGAATATGTAACCACAGTACTAAAGAAGCAACATCAATTCAGATTTTTGACACGCCTACACCCTTCAAAACGTCCAACGAAAAGTCAGGAAAGACGTGGAAGTGAAGAACGGCATGTAAGAATGAATGAAGAAACAAATAACATGTTTTACGTAGTAAAATAGAATGTAACATGAAAATAAAATACTTGATGAACAGATAATGTATTAGAAGCAGCTAGAGTATTAAAATAGTAGTAAGAATTAAATCAATGCTCAATATTGTGAAAATACAAGGTGGGTCTACATGAAATTCTAGGAAAATTGAAAGGAGAAAATACAAGTATCACGTACGAATAACGGAATTAATGGCTAAGGGAACGGTTGACCACAAGTCTAGTTGAGTATAAAGCCTCCTTTACGTTGTTTATTTAATACTAGTGAAGCCGGCAATGATTCGTTATTGCAGTGCATTACACATCACACACTACTGGTCACACTGTTAATCACGTTTTATTCTACTCTGTGCAAAAATTCGAATAGATGAAAGACTTATTCGTAGTATTGGTTTGTTTTATATATCCTGGTTTGGATGTGGTTGTCAATTATTCCATTGTTAAGACGTTTTTCTTCAAATTTGGGCATGTGTTCGCTATGACACTATCTTGGAGAAATTTGATTTACATGTCCAAATATCAAATAATAATTCCGGGCGATATTTTACAATTGCACAATACTTGTATGAAGTGAAGATGCGCTTAATCCGTGACTGAGCGGCGTATTGCGTAAAGTTCAGGTGCACTTGAGTCGTCATAGGCGAATAAATCATCATCCACAACGTTCCCACTCGTCCGATGTAATTCAAACCACTCTTAATCACTCCCATTACTAATAAGAACAAAGTGTGAATATTTCAAAGAAATCGGAACGAGTAGTTTTTGTATCTATGTGCGACATAAATGCGCACATTCTCTTTTATTTGCATATAGATTAGGCCGAAATGAGAAAGAATGAATTACTAAAATTATAATCAAAAGATTCCTCTTGGGGACTAATTTTCCTCAAAGAAACTAAATTGTTGATTGTTGGGCACGACACCAAACCAGTCGGTCGACAACTCGCCCCCCCCCCCAAAAAAAGAAAAAAGATTGCGACAGTGGCGAGACTTTAGCAGGAAGGAATCAGGGTATACTTAACCTCCCCTTGTTCCTCTCATTTCACGATATTTTATTTTCAGCCGGAACAGTTATGCGAAGATCAGCAGATGGTGGTGCATACATTCTCGTATTATTTTTAAATTAGCAAATTTTCGAAAATTCAGAAACCTAAACGAAAATGAAACTGCGCCTTTCTTTGAAGTGGCCCTTCTATCGGTGAAAAAATTTTAAAGCAAAAGTTTGGAGCGATTTCAACTCGTTTTTTAAAAAAATGTACATAACCTCTTTTGAAGATATAATTTTTTTGAACCAGGTTTTGACTGGGATAAAAGTCTCTTTCTTCACTTTTGTAATGTTAACTTTTTCCAATTTTAAAAATAGAGAGAATTCACCTAAAATGGGACTAACACCATATTTCTTATCGTCCCTTGATACATACCAAGAGAAAATTTGAAGAAAACAATTGGAGCTATTTTAGAGAAAAAAATTGTTTAAATTGTATAACATAACAGTATTTCAAGATCTCTATCTTCATTATTAAAGTTGTAGAAAGACGCTCAAAAAATTGCACACTTTTAGGTTTCTAAAAATTTGGTATTTCAACGAACATGAGTCTTGCACAATTATCTTAAGCGTCCTTTGCGGTGACAGAATAAAGTTTAATTTAACATTTGGTCCCATTTTTTTTTAATTGAAAATTTTTTTGAGGATTCAAGTAAAGAATCTAAAAAAATCAAATTACGAAGTTGCAATTATTTATTTTTGTGAAATTACAAAATCACAAGAATCAAATCTGATAAATCATTATAGCGCGCGAAGATCACAGTAAGTTCATGCGCTTTAATCGGAACCGTACGGAACTATCTTTATTATGCGTAGGAAAATTATATTACATAATTTATGAGCTCAGTATTAATTGTATAAATTCCTCAGTATAAATTGTAACAGAATAAATGTTGAATTCTTGTTATTGAGAAAGAAAAGGCTGATAATTTGTAGTTAGTTGCCAGAAATTTAATAATTGATTTCAATAAACAGAACTTCCAATAAATCGCAAATATATACAAAATTGCACGTTCACATACGACAGGTAAAAAGGTAAAAGGTTGTATGTCGAGACCTATGAACAAAAATAAAAGTAAGATCATGATAATAACGATTTAATATTGAGAAAATTTACGAGCATAGCAGAGCAAAATAGAATAAATTGAATTAGAACATTAGAACAATGCCAGTCGGGCAACAAAACCAATTAAGTAAATAAATGGAAGTATATATATTTCACAAATAGCTTGTCCAAGTCGGGCAAAGAAGATAATTAAGTATTAAAAAAGGAGAAGTTTTACAAAATATACAATGTTCTATGTAAATGAATAGCTCGTTTATAGTTTCTTGAATTTTGTTTTGCCAAATTTATGAATAAATTATTTTTTGTCACTTAAAAAAATTGTCTAGAAAAGTGAAATAATGGAAAAACATTCAAATACATAAGGTAAATATTGCCGTCTCAAAACGAAAGTTGTTTCTTAAAAATGGTCGGGCACTTCCAGATTGATTCATTAACCCACCCCAGATTTGAAGGAACCTATTAGGAATTTTATGTGAGAAACCCTGAAGTCACCCAGAATGTCAGTTAATTTTGACTCCATATTTTCCACGACGGAGCGCGGTTTTATTTTCGTGGTTTGAATGAACAATTGAAATGCCGTGGTTTTAATGATGAAACAAAGCACCACGACTTTACAGGGATACGAGTATTCATATAAATAATGAGATTTCCCAGAATTAATTAAATGACACTCATACCGTTCTGAGTTTTACCCATTCATATTTTATTGCCTCCTGTATGTCCGACTCCAGTATTTCCGACTCCACTATTACCGTAGGGCATTAGCCCGGCCCTAATGTCGGGGATTGGGGAGGGATGGCGATGGCTTCAGGGTCTCCTACGCCAACCGCCTAGAATTAATCGGAGAAAACGCCTGATCATAATGACTGACCCCTAGAACCCACAATTAAATATCTGTTCGCTTCGACGTAGTTATTTAGCAAGTCACGCCGAACCTCGAATCTCCCAGTTAAAGGAGCTTCAAATCACTAATGGCCCTCCACTACATACGCTATCCTTAGATCCGTCTCTAATCATCTAAATTCATCTTCTCTCTGCGAAGCAAAAAACATAAAACTTACGCGTATTTGTATGTTGTCCGATGTTTAATATGTCTTTCCTTAGTTCGGCCTTCGAGTCCCATGCCCCAGAGAGTAGAACATAAATTGTTTGAGTATTTAATTTTGTCGGGCATTAACCCGATTATTTTGCATGCCGCAAGTACGACATGCCACAGATTTCTACGCCTTCAAAATCTCGACCCACATCTTATCCCTGTGCTCCTGGTAATGACAATGAGTAAGCAAACGCACGTCCAAAACAAAGTTGTAATTTATCATTAAAACATTATTTTCCAATTTTTTTGTCGCCTTGGTAAGAACCAATAAAAATAATTTTATAGTGGGAGAGTTACAGTTTCCATTTCAGTCGGAACACTTGCCCGAGATAAAAATGGAATTTTTTTGTTTGCTGTAACATCGGTATTCCCAGCTTACCTCAACTTCATTAGCTGAACCTAACAAAAACCCACAGAGGATGCAAAAAAATTAATAGTCAATTGCTCTACGGTTTGTGGAGTTTCTCGTTTTATGTTCTTATATGAATGGGTGAAACCAGAACGTATATAGTAACATTCTTATAGAACCCGGAACCGTATTCTAGATTATCTAGTAGGCCAAGTTGCGCGCGGGGATTGTCTGATTTCGCTGTTTTGAATGAAGACTATCGAAATGCGTGTTTTAATGACTAGAGACAAGTTAGCAGAACACAGAACGTCGAGTAGCATGTGGACTAATGTCTGCGAGCTTCGGAGCGTTCGATATAAATTTTACTATACAGATTTCCCAGAAATTATTAAATGAACTTACTGACGGTTCTGGGGGTTTTACCCATTTCATATTTTATGCATCCTGTAATTTTCCGACTCCAGGCAGGGGATGTCTAGAATCAAACTAAATGAGCCTATATTACCGTAGGGCATTAGCCCGGTCCTAATGTCGGGGATTGGGGAGGGATGGCGATGTTTCAGGGTCTCCTCGCCAACCACTTAGAATTAATCGGAGAAAACGCCTGATAATATGACTGACCTCTAGAACCCTCAATTAAATAGCTGGTCGCTTCGACCTAGCTATTTAGCAAGTCCCGCCGAACCTTGAATCTCCCAGTTAAAGGAGCTTCAAATCACTAATGGCCCTCCACTACATACGCTATCCTTAGATCTGTCTCTTAATCATCTAAATTCATCTTCTCTCTGCGAAGCAAAAACATACAACTTGCGCGTATTTGTATGTTGTCCGATGTTTAATATGTCTTTCCTTAGTTCGGCCTTCGAGCCCATGCCCAGAGGGCAGTGACTGCCCGCGCCGTTCCGCGAGAGAAGGAAAAGGTGCGCGTGAGCAGGAGCCAATGCGCAGGCGGCCAGCGGCTGATGGTCGTGTGGCTGCGAAGCGCATAAAGGAGCCCCGCGGCGCGAAGGCACTTGACTTGCGCCGCGACCGCCGTCCACAGCCACCCAGCTCCTCTCGGCCATGGCGCTCCGCCCGTTGCTGCTCGCGTCGCCCTCTGCCTCGGCGCCTCCCACGCCGTTCGTCTTCGAAGACGGCGCCCCCTTCCGAGAAGGTAAGACGCGCTGTGAATTGAGGCGTCGGAAAAGCACATTCACATATCCAAAATAAATACCTTAGAATTTCGCAAGATAAACAACATAATGATACAAAAGCTGTACAAATGAGTC